AGGTCACAGAGGTCAACAACATTTTAATGGATTTGTTCTTGAGAACTAAAAGGAATGGATTCATAAGATTTGGCTGGTAGCTTTTTGGAATAGAGCTAACCAATTTGAGAAGGAAAATGACATTGACCTTATGTCAAGCAACTTCTGAAGAAGAATCAAAAAGCATAGAATCTTTAAATAATATTTTGCTGGTAGTTTCAACAGATGGAGCCAACAAAGTTTGCGAGGGAAATATTTTTAGTGCAATATAATATTTAATGAGAATATTTTGCTATGACTGCTTAAATATTCAGGTGAGCTATACAGGCCCTCTTGGGCCTCTTGTTTATAGCATATCAGCTAATATAACCACTCTTAGAATGATGCAGATCTTATTTCAATGTAAGAAAGTATATAACACTATATGGCTTTCGACGGGCAAATTTTGGGGTACTCTTGTTGAAATATCAGTTGCAATAGCACCAGTTTGTTATACAGTGACCATGATTCTGTCAGAGGTGCCTATATACTAAAACATGTAGCTTTATGTACCATATATATCCATATAGTTAGGCCCCTTTTCTTCAATCTTTAATCCCATATCTTTTGTTTTCTTGGAGGAAACAATAGCCTGTGGTATCAAAGTTCAATGTACATATTTTATAGAATGTTATGGTAGCCCTTTATTTGGCTTGTCAGTTGATCTACAGCAATGTAAATGTATCAGATCACTACTTGTTAGTGGTTTGTTGTTTTGCCCTCTAGCTGTGACCCTTATACCCAGGTTGATAACCTGTCCAGGGTTTCATTTATAGGCATGCACAGTAGCCAGTGAAAATACCCACCTACCACAGTTATTTCACCAGCTTTCTTTCATACAAAATTAGAAGAACGGTAAATGAGGTATTGTTAAATATATAAATGCATTTAACTGCCTATTGTGTGTTGGATATACAACACAACTTGTTGAAATCTTATTGAAGCTTGTCTGTCTACACCATAGCCTATATAGCTACATGCATATGTATATATATATATATATGTATATATATATATAGAGTACATGTTTCTATTTTAGTATACAACCCTGGTAACTAGGAATGTGTCCCAGGATCTGACCTCATCTGTAGCATAATGCTTGAGTATAAGTTTTTAGCCCACCATTAAATACCCCTGGCCCTAATTAATGATCATGAGGATTCATCCCTCATTGACAGCACAATGTTGTATATATGCTATTGTATTTTATACATGTACATGTATATATGTTGCCAAATGATGATATGTAGCAGGATTCCTATGTAAAATGTGTGCTGTATTGAAGGTGATGAACATTGGTCAGTGATGTGTTGGTGTTTATCACCTTTAAAATTCTAAACAAGGTTTTTAATGAAAAGGAAAGATGTACTTTGGTGAGTGATAAACAAGCATTCCTGAGATAAAAACAACTCTGTTGAGTTACAGAGCACTTTTGTTATCTAATGTTAGCACTGGTATCAAGCTGAACACATGATAGTGTTATCTGTTAACTGCTGGAAGATGTTGGAGGTAACTTCCTGTACTACACACCAGTGTACATGTATCAATGTTTACTGGTACAAGAGTGTACGATACACACCAGTGTACATTCTTCAATGTTTACTGGTACAAGAGTGTACGATACACACCAGTGTACACGTATCCATGTTTACTGGTACAAGAGTGTATGATACACACCAGTGTACATGTATCAATGTTTACTAGGACAAGAGTGTACTATACACACACCAGTGTACATGTATCAATGTTTACTGATACAAGAGTACGATACACACCAGTGTACATTCTTCAATGTTTACTAGGACAAGAGTGTACTATACACACCAGTATACATGTATCAATGTTTACTGGTACAAGAGTGTACCTTACACACACCAGTGTACATGTATCAATGTTTACTGGTACAAGAGTGTATGATACACACCAGTGTACATGTATCAATGTTTACTAGGAGAAGAGTGTACTATACACACCAGTATACATGTATCAATGTTTACTGGTACAAGAGTGTACTATACACACACCAGTGTACATGTATCAATGTTTACTGGTACAAGATCTAGAGTGTCTTGTTTCTTTAAACCCTGAATATTGGGATAGCCCTTTACTAGTGGATGCAAAGAACCTTGTTGATTTTGGGCATATAATAGCTCACCAGAGGTCAAGGTCACCTTATAATTAGAAGAGGGAGACTCAAGGGCAGGACAAAAAGATACATATAGTTTGGTTATATTGCTTTAAGCCACTTCTCTTTGAAAACTATGATATGGATATAACTATATATAAAGTAGAACCCCTCTAACTCAAACTTGTGGGGTCCAGATCAGTTGTTTAAGGAATACAGGGTTCTGTACGAATCTGATGTTAGTACGAACTCATAATGTATTGTAATGTATCAATCAGGTGGGACAGTAAAACAGCTCAGCACTGCAAATGTTTTTGCATGTGTTTCTTCGTTCCTCCCAAATGGAGGTGAACAGACAATAAATTACCTGGCTGCAGTACTAGTTTAGTGGAGTACACTCTAAAAAGTAATTATGAAACAAATAAAAATTCATGAGAAACAACTTTATATTTTACGTTTTTAAGGAATAATTTGCCGGAGAAATACTAGTGGTCATTCCATCAATTCCGACAATTTTTCAGACGTTCATGCTGATGAAGATAACAGAAACTCCAGCTAAAATGTACAATAAGGATACAGTGTTCTCCACGGCAATTGTTTTGATGCGCTTCTAACCCTTAACTTTGAGAAAGAAAACTAAACAAGAGTAATAGTTGATGTACTTAATTCTAAATAAATAGCATTACTTAATAATCTTGACATTGCATTATTATTGCACATTTCCTTGCCGTTTACTTTTTCTTTCACATTTTTTTTTATACTTTTATCTTCAAAAAAGTACTCTGACTCAAGAAAATGGATAATTTTAGCAAATACTTAAGCCTTTTTTCCCCAAGAATATCATCTTAGAAATAAATGATTATGTGTCTGAGAATAAATAAATTATGATAACATTCAAACCAAATGTTTTATTTTGACACATTATTAATTAATTTTGAAATCAATGATTTATTTTTAAAATTTGATTTAAAAAAAATATCCCTTAGTTATGAAATTAACCAGGCCCAGCTACCTTTTATCATTTTATATAGATAAAAATGATTTACTTAATTATTCAATAATTGTATGTACTGCATGTAGTTAACATGTGTGGGACATTTATATGCATGGTTTAATTTTGACCAGGAAATATTTAGTATTCATGGAAACTGATGATATCGTCAACCAGTACATATTATGACCCTATATATATATACATGTATAGTTTGCATGAAACGGCTTTCAAAATCTGCTATCTGGATCCGTATTGGCCTTGTGATCTGAACCCGCCCTTAGGCACATGGAAACATTATAGATCTACACCCTGTAACACTGTAACAGTACTATTGTTGATAAACTTTGTTCCTTTTCTGTTTCTGTTGTTTAAGAAATACATTTTTGGCTCGCCTATTCAGAGAATAGGGGGGGGGGGGGGGGGGGAAATTGTTGTAGTCTCGTCAGCGTCCCATCTTCTAAAGTTAATGTTTTTGTGAAAGTTTTTTCCAGACTGTGTTGGATCATCACACTCAATACACAGTTGTCTATTATGAGGTTGAAGTATTTATATGGAGTGAAAGCAATGTGCTGAGCCATATTTTCATATTTTAGGGGCCAAAAACAGCTTAATTGGACTTGGTTCATGTTTTTGGGCAAGCTTGAGGTTAAAGTTTTGGGCAAGTGTTTTTTTAGCATTGTTGGACCACCGACATCAAAAGGCTGTTGTCTATTATAAGGTTGAAGATTTTTTTATGGAGCGTAAGCAATGTGCTGAACCATATTTTCATAGTTTAGGGGCCAAAAAAAGCTTAATTGGACTTAATTAAAGTTTTTGGGTAAGCCTGAGGTTTAAGTTTTTGGACCAGTTTTTTGTGTAGTTTTGGATCACCACCATCAATAGCTTATAGGCTATTGTCTTTTATAAGGTTGAAGTATAAATATATGGAGTGTTAGCAATGTTCTGGACCATATTTTCATATTTTAGGGGCAAAAAACCACTTAATTGGACTTACCGGGGGTAGTAAAAGTTTTTGGATAAGCTTGAGATTAAAGTTTTTGGGCAAGTCATTTTGTGCAGTGTTGGATCAGTCACCACTATCAATAGTTCACTGTTGACTATTTCACGTTCGCTGGTTATCTCTTCTTACATGTTAAGGTACAGCAAAACCTTGTTTTATTGCCATCATTTGTTCAAAGAAACGTTGACATTAGAAAGGGATTTGGCAATAAATTCAGGGAAACGTATAAGGAATCCTTAAAAAAACATAATTAAGGGACATGAAAATATGTTGGTGGTGATTATAAGTGAGGTGGCAAATGAAATGACAGGCATTATATCAAGGTTTTACTGTACATTTGTTTCAATTGATATTTGCTATCTTACAACATATATCACCAAAACAGCTCTTAAAATTAATAGTTAGCCTGCTTGGCATATCATTTAATTGTTACGGAAGTTTCTTTTTTTCAGAAAATGTAGATGACCCAATCTAGACCTTAAATCGAATGTCTCTCACAAGACACAAAAGGGTTTAAGTTTTATTTGATGACCCTTGTACAACATTTCTGTATAATCTTTTCCTACTTTACTTAACAGGGAAGATAATAAAGTAAGTCACTACATAATCAACAAAATAGCTGTGGGCAACACAACAAGGTTCCGTATTGGAGACCAGGAGTTCCCTGACATCCCAAACCTTCTCAGCTTTTATAAAACACATTATCTGGACACGACGTCTCTCATCAAACCGGTAAGTATTATACTTATCATATATGTCCAAAACCAGTATGAATCATATGTCCCAAATTGGTATTACATACCTGTTATACTTCTCAGTTTTGTCTGGAATGTTATCTTTTTTTGTCCTCTGTATATATGTAAGCCTAAGGATCTCAATGAGTGACCTTGGGTGAGATGTGGGTCATCCACAAGAATACAACACATCTGAGCTTTACACAGTAACCTTGTTAATTATCACATCAATGGAATTTTTCACAATATTTATACCCTTTCTGTCCTTTTGCACAGATTTTGTTAATCAATTTTACAATTGCTTAAAATTTCTGATGCCAGCATAGTAAAGTGATCAGAAATTGGGTAGTGCAAGCTGTGTTAAGGTCACTGATCATGACCCACCTCTCACCCAAGGTCACTTAACTATATCTCACCCAATGTCACTCGCCCATGTTCACTCACCCACATCTCAACCAAGGTAACTCACCCACATCTCACCCAAGGTCATTGTCCCACATCACACCCAAGGTAACTCACCCACATCTCACCCAAGGTCATTGTCCCACATCACACCCAAGGTCACTTACCAATATCTCAGTCAAGGTCACTCATCCTCTTCTCACCCAAGGTCACTCACCCACTTCTCGCCAAAGATCACCCACCCACATCACCCAAGGTCACTCACCCATATCTATCCCAAGGTAACTGACCCACATCTTACCCAAAGTCACTCACCCACATCACACCCAAAGTAACTGACCCACATCTAACCCCAAGGTAACCCACCCATATCACACCCAAAGTAACTGACCCACATCTAACCCCAAGGTAACCCACCCATATCACACCCAAGGCAATGATCACATCTTACCCAAGGTCACTCACCCACATTTTACCTAAGGTCACTTACCAAAGGTCACTCACCCACTTCTCACCCCAGTTCACTCACTTCACAGCCAAGGTCACGGAACCATGTCTCACCGAAGGTCGCTTACCCACTTCTCGCCCCAGGTCACTCACCAACATTGATATCTCGTCCAAGCCCACTCATGACCACATCTTTCCCAATCCTAGAGGTTATTCATGCTTATTCACTAATTTGTTGCATTCAAGGTATGATTGTTAACACATACCTTATTGACATACAAATTGACCTATATCTCATTCACGCTCACATATTCACATATCCCAAGGTCAGTGACTATTAGACAATAAAGCATACTTTTATACATGTATGTATGTAAATACAACAAAACTGCTATCAAATGGATTTATATGAATAAAAAAAAATCTAGATTTCCCAACTTGAAAGAAAAAGGATCATGATCAGTTAACTTGTCAGACTTAAAGTATCCAAGTCTTATCAATATTCTGCAGTATCATTTTACTAAATTAGTTATAGCTAGATTTTGTGCCTCATGATATCTTTTAATGATATGAATTTTATCATTTTAATTAAACCATTAAAAATGTAACACCAAAGTTAAGATTTTTCAGTTAGGTTTTAGCGATAGGAGATACTGAATAAGGGATTCATGTATCATAGCCTTGTAGAAAAATTAACTCAGACTTTCTATGTCATCTCTTTTCCTTGCAGATGTGTAATAAAATCATTGAATTATGTATTAGTCACAGAACTAGTACTACATTCCTCAATATGTTTTTAGCCCACCATCATCTGATGGTGGGCTATTCAAATCACCCTGTGTCCGTCGTCTGTCCTTAAACAATTCTTGTTATCGGTATTTCTCAAGAAGTTCCAGAGGGATCTTTCTCAAATTTTATATGTAGGTTCCCCTTGGTCCTTAGCTGTACAGGGCAACTTTTGAGACTGATCGGATAAACAACATGGACGACAGACAGCCATCTTGGATTTTGATAGTGAAAGTTTGTTATCGCTATTTCTCAAGAAGTACCAGAGGGATCTTTCTCAAATTTTATATGTAAGTTTCCCTTGGTCCTAAGCTGTGCAGGGCAACTTTTGAGACTGATCGGATAAACAACATGGCCGACAGGCAGCCATCTTGGATTTTGATAGTGAAAGTTTGTTATCGCTATTTCTCAAGAAG